TTTTCCAAGATAGACGATGTACAATATTGTGAAGGAGGAAAATCATCTAAATCCTTAGGAATACAATCTTTATATATTATAGAAGGAAATAATTATCTTCAGCTTAAATGGGAATCAAATTAGAAGATAACTTAAGAATTATTCAAAAGTGAAAATTAAATCTTAAAACTAATACTGTTGTAAACATGCAAAAATCTTATTCTAATCACTTATTAAGAAGAGAATAACTAATAATCATTTTAAAGGTTAGACAATGAGATTGTCTTAAATCAAGCTTTTGAAGTTGAATAGATACATTTTTTTTCAAATTTCCTCTTTCTTTAAAATTCAACAGAATTAATTATAAGAATAGATAAACATTTAAATTAAAAATATGAAATTCTGAATACAAAATTAATATATATGGAATCATATAATTTAATTTATTAAATAGACAAAACTAAAAAAATGGTAATATTTTATAGATATTTTCCAATTAGTGCTTTTTTATAACCAACTTAAAAATTTGTATCAAAATATAATATGAAAATACATAGGATAAGAAAACTCCTGAATTAATAAATTTATAAATAGAAAAGGATTGTTCATAAAATTAGAAAACGATTTTGTCAATTATAGATTTTCAGTCATTATAATAAATGCCATTTTCTCTTTATAACAATTACACTAATGGTGTAATAAATTTAAGTATCTGGAATGAGGGGGAAGAAGAAAACCTATGCTACTATCAATTAAGAATGTATAATTTTAAAGGCAAGATTTAATTAAAATCAATGTATACTTTTACTCATGTAGTTTTTCAAGTTGAAGATTCTATATATTTCCATGACTGTTAATTAAAAAAAATATAATTAATTTTAAATACTAATTAATATGAAGTATTTCAAAATTAAGAATATTATTTTTTGATTGATAAAAATAAAAAATAGATTAGAATGATTTATATTTTCCCAGGGATTACACATCAGATTGTTACACACTCAAATATTGAAATAATAAGTGCGTAACAAATAGGGGAATAAATAATTATTTATATTAAAAATTAACAATCCCCAATTCTAATCTCCAAAAAAAAATTTTTAGAAAAAATTTAGAATAATTACCTTTCATAAAAATTAAAATAACCAGGAGAAATTCTTTATTATCAAGAAATATCAAAATATAAATTTATTCAATATTAAAATATTTTCGCCTTTGAATAAAATGAAGAGGTAAGATGTTTTCAATTTTCAGATGTCTAAATAGTTTATATTAAAATATATGTAAAAGCTCATTTTATGATTTTTGCAGTACAAATTTAAACTAACTCAATACTTCTTTATCATTTTGATCAATTTGAAATACATTAATTTGATAATTATACTTTAGAAGATTATTCATTCTCAAGTCCTTTAAGGTACTCTAATAACAATTTTAATTTAGCTATTTTAACTGTGAAAAATTAATTTTCCTTCATAACTTTATTAAGTTTTAATCCTTTCAAAATCAGCTTGATGGATGTTAAAGACACTGATGATACATATTTTGAATTTATAAATAATGCATTATTTTATTTCAGAAATGGCTAAATTCGGCAACATTACCTGAATAAAATAGTTGCTCTAATCGAAACTAATATGAGCTACTAATAAACATTGATTTCATCACATGAGTTAAAATTAATGTCAACTTAGAGATTAGATGATGATATACCTGTCAAAATCTTAATTTAGAATAATTGTTATCAAATATAACCATTATAAAATACTATTTCATTAAATATTAAGAAAAGTTAAAATTTATAAATAAAGATTTCAGAATACTTTTAAGGTCCCATTAATAATTTATTTATTAAAAAGAATCAAAAAACTAAAATTAGAGATCCAATTCAATTTATATAAGAAATCAACATTTGTAATAATGAAAATTTCTTTTGTATCAAATAACAATAGTTACAAAAGAAAATAGAAACATAGGAATTAAAATCTAGATTTAAAGCAATCATTTTAGAAGATAACACAGTATTTTAAATCCTATATCCAAATACTTAAGATTAACTCAATTATGTATTGTGGATATAAGATCATTAATTTCTATGGTTTTCTCAAATGGAGGATGAATTACATATACAATTATTGTATTGTGTTTTCAAAGACAATGAAAATTGTTTGGAAATCTAGTCATAAATTATAAACATTAACATTATTTAGCCTTTGTAGTAGAACATTATCAAAACAAAAAATTTAGTTAGATTATAGAATACATTAAATTAGATTTATTTATTTATTAATGATTAGAATTTTAGTGCAATTGACCTACCAGGTGATTATGTTGATATTTAATATATCTTACAAACGTAAGATAATTATGTTACTTTTTCATATTCAGAGAATGGAATAAGTTTTTAATTCGAAATATCAATTTACTTAATTGATTCCAATGGATTTTTTTTAATGTTTTCAAAGATAATTACCAAAGAGATTGAGTAAATAATACCTTTATTTAACAGATGTTAATAAATAAAATTAGTTTCATCTCGATACAATTCCAATGTTACAACTGTAAACCTTTTATTATTCATTAATCAAAATTCTTTTATGATTAAAATTTAAATTGATGTACATAATAATTCAATTTTATCTTTTCATTTGACAAAACAGATTAGAAATCCTAAAGTAGAATATTAATCAACTTTTTATTATGTGGATGAGAATTATTTAATTATGAATTACCTTAAGAAAACTATGTTTTTTTATGATTTGCAAGAAGATAGATTATTTTATGATTATATTTATCGATTAAAATCTGATATTTAAATGATAAGGATAAATACTACCCATTTCATTTCTTAAAATGGATTACATGTTCATTTAGGAATAATATCATAATATGTTATTGATTTTTAAAATCTTGATGATAGCAATTTTAATTTTGTTTTATTTGCTGAAAATGATGTATCAAATGCTGAAATTCCAATATATATAATTCAAGAACAACCTTTTTATTATCATAATCCAAACATAATACTAATTTAATTAACAAATTTTTTTGTTATTATTGTATATTTAAAGAGATAGTATTGTAAGAATTTACAAAGAAAAAACTAATAGAAACATATGGGATAATGAATCTATTTTTAATTATTATAAATATGATTATTTTTAAATTATAAACAAAATAATTAATTCTATAAAAAAATTTATGATTAATTTAATTACATAGCCTAAATCTCATGGTTGATATATCCTTCCTTAGTTCCATTTTACTTTTTCTTATGATATTCTCAATTATTAATTCATAGTAGAATATTTTCTTTTAATAGTTAATATCTTCTTTGAGGATGAAGGCAGTTAATTACAGTTTTTAGAGAGTGGCTTTCCATTCTTTATAAAATCTCTAAAAGATTTATTTATTATTTTTATAAAAATTATTAAGTTAATATATTTTATAAGACATTTGAGAATTGAATATAAAAATATACTGATTTTGATTTAAATTTTGATTAGAGACTAGGGCAATGTTTACTAGTATTGAATGTGACATTTTCTCAATTTCCTCATTTAATCGACAAAAAATATGTAGAACATAAAGGCTTTGTTGTTGCGAAAAAGCAACCTTTTCTTGTTGTGATACTTGTAGTCATTATTGCTGTAGCATTTGCACATTCTCTAATCTATAGTTTGTTTTACAAATTACTAATTAATATCTCATCCAATAACAGATTTATAAGCAGCATTATTTCAAATTCAAATAGCAAATGCTGGCCTGTAAGGATGAATTTCCAACCTATAGCTTAAATAAAGGGGAGTGAAGAAAAAAATCTAGGAGGAAGGTAATGTTGACTTGTTAATATTTATTTCTCCTTCTCATTTATTTTCTATATAAAACAATTCTCGAGCTCAACAGTCTTAATTGTTGCATATTTTAATAATATTATAATAAAATGAATAAGTAAAACTTTGTGATTAATTAAATTAGATATTACCGTTAGATTTCTGAATAATATGAATATTTGAAGAACGAAAATTAGCATAAATTTTTATTAGTAAATAAGAATTAACATTAAAATGATATAAAAATTAAAAAAAATAATAAAGTCTTTTTAAAATCATTTTCACTTTTTTATTATTATTATAAGATTTTTAAAAGAGAAATTATTAATGAAATTATGGTTCTGATAGGTTTTTGATTTCTAATTAATTCAGTCACATACTATTCTTAGATGTTTTCCTATTTTCTATCAAAATGATGTGACTATTAATCTTTGTACATATTTAATAAAAAATAGGCATATTATTTTTAGCATTACTATTATTTTAAATTGAATTAATATATAATTCGTTAAAATGAATTTTAGCCTTAATTGATAATGGGTATTGATATGATTAACATTTATCTCAAACTTCCAAATTTATTTGAAATTAAAAGAATAATAATTATATGATGATACCCATAATTTATAATAATAATGGTTAATAAAAATGAATTCTATATTTTCTTTTTATTTTATTTCTATTTTTGGAAATCTAGTAGATCATTTGAGATAGAAAGTAAAAGATATTATTTATTCAAATCATATAAGGAATTTTATGTATATTGCTTTCAAGATGATTCCTTTTAAATTCTGCTTTAGTTAACATCAAAGTGAATAGCAAGTTAAAGTCAATCATAATGATAATTCAATTCCTTTTATAATAAATATTTTTAATGT